TGTGTGTGTGTGTGTGTGTGTGTGTGTGTGTGTGTGTGTGTGTGTGTGTGTGTGTGTGTGTGGGAGAGAGAGAGAGAGAGAAATCAAGATCCTAGGATTGGTTCAAGATCCTAGGATCTTGATTTGACTGATTGGTTCAAGATCCGCGGGGCGTTTAATTCGACCGCGCGGCGTTAAATTGGTCTGCGCGGCGGCTGACGAGGCTGCGTTTTCGCACGGCTGCGTGGTCGGGGGTCTAGTTTCCGGGGGGGGGGTGTTTAGAGGGGTTGCGGACGTCGACATCCGAAATGACGGGTGGTGCCGGCGGTTCGGGGGGCAATGACTTCGTTCCTGTGAGCGACGTGCAGATGGACGAGCTGCGCAGGAAGTCGAGAGTGTGGCGTCATGTGACGCAGGGTCGCAGGTTGGGAACATGGGAGAAGATGCATGGGGATTATAAGGTGCGCTGCAATTATTGCAAGCATGTCTGGCAGGGGAATTTGTTCAAGGCACAGTGCCACTTCACACAGTTGAAGAGGTGCTCGGCGGCGACGATGGACGTGTTCGTTGACCTTTTGAACCACACGGATTACGAGTTCGAGAAGCGACATCACCGCGGTATCGTGGCTTACATGAGGGAGCACGATATCGTGGATAGACGAGCTGTGGACGTCCAGTGAGGCAGTGGCAGGGGGAGGACGAGGGCGTCGCAGTCGCAAGCAGAGGAGCTCGATCCTGTGGATGAGGTGGAGAGGTTCCTGGACGAGCAGGCCAGGCGAGCAGAGGCAGGGGAGGGTGGAGGGACAGCCGCAGCAAGAGGATTTGCCGGGGGAGGAGGTGGTCATGACTGCGCGAGGGAGAAGCGCCGCTCACCATCATGAGGGGAACGCACCGGGCCCAACAGGGAAGAGGCCGGTGGGCAGTGGAGTTGAGGGCGTGCCGCAGGCGCACAAGAGACAGCGGCAGTCCACTCTGGATGAGGTGTACGATCCAGATGTGCAGGCCGCATTCAGGGACACCTTTTTGCAGTGGTGCTACGATAGTGGTATACCATTTGCTGCTTTCAAGAGGCAGCCATGGTATAGGCACAAGAAGGCGTTGGCCGCCATGTCTCGCGGAGTGCGGCCTGTCTATCCGTCCTTCAAGGACATTGGGGACGGTGGTATCGATGATCAGCGGGGGAAGGTTGCCGCGATGTTGAGGGAGGTTCGTGCTTCGTTCGAGTCGGTGGGGGCCACCATTTTGTCGGACGGTAGGCAATCGCGAGACGCGAGGCCTATCGTCAACTTCCTTGCGGCCGCCAAGCGCGGCGCCCTGTTGTACGCCACCGTCCAGCGAGACGGTTCAGTGGCTGAGACGGCACGGATCGTCTGAGGAGATGGAAGGCCATTTTTCGGTCTTTCCCTCCGAAGGACGTGTTGGCCATTTGCACGGACTCTGCGTCGAACTATACGTCCGCCGCAAAGCTCCTTGCAAAGGACCCCGATCCGGAGATCCGCCGTATCACTTGGCTCCCCTGTGCCACCCACGTGGCCAACTTGATGTTGTCTGACATCGGCACAGGGGTTCCTTGGGTTACGGAGACCATTGTCAGAGCTCGAGCGTTGGTGCGATTCATTAAATCGCACGGCGCGGCTTATCACCTTTTCAGGGGGAAGAGTCGTCGCCGCACGCTTATGCACCTTGTGGAGACGCGATTCGCGTCCGTTTTTTTGATGTTTGTGTGTTTGCTCGCCAGGCGTAACGCCTTGGAGAGCATGCTTCATGACGACGAGTGGGACAAGATCCCATGGAAGTCGTCGAAGCGCAAACAGGCTCTCTGGGTTCGGCAGGTCATCCGGTGCGCCGATTTCTGGCGCAACGTTCAGTATGATGTCTTTGTCATGACCCCTATCCACCAGCTGTTGAGGAGATTGGACAGGGGCGGCATGATCATGTCCATGACGTACTCATGGTTGCAGGAGTTGGCGCGACAGGTGGCTGCTGTTCACGTCCCTGATGACATCCGGAGGCCGTGCGTGGAGGCGGTGCAGATCCGCACCATGCATATGCTTGAGCCGGCGTACGATGCGGCGCACCTGCTCAACCCCCGCAGGCGCTCCCTCCGTTACTACGAGTCCGCCCGCAGGACAGTTGCGGACCTCGAGGTTGTTACCGAGTGCGACTCGTTTTTCTTGGTGCAGACAGGCGGTGATGCGGCGGGGGATGCATACTTGCGGGTGCGTCAGCAAATGCGATCCTTCCACTCCAGGGTTGGCCACACGACGGACAGGGTGACGAGGGACGCCGAGGCGGAGACCTGTGTAGGGGACGAGGAGACGAGCAGGTGCGCGTCATGGTGGGTGGAGCACGACGCATGCTTCGCGGACTTGCAGGAGATTGCTGGCCGTGTGATGCACATGTGGACATCCGCCTCTCCTGCTGAGAGGAATTGGGCAGAGCATGAGCGCATCCAGACGGCCAAGCGCAACAAGCTCAAGTTCAGGAAGGTCGCGCAGTTAGTTGAGATTGCTACCAATCTCAAACTACTTGGATGCAGCGACCAGAGCGGGGGGTACGTTCTTCCGTGGGGCCACATGTCGACCCTGGCTGAGGCGCGCCCTGACGAGTACACACACACCCCGACCACCGCCGACAGGGATGAGGAGGACGAGCCTGAGCCAGAGGAGTGGGGAGCCCGACCTCAGTCGGCAGTGGCCGCACACGAGGTTAGTGCACAGGTCCGTCGATTCCAGCAGCAGGGTTCTCGTCGTCCGGAGGGAGTTGGTGAGGTTTTCGGTCCCAGAGCCGAGATACTTCATCCTTACGACTACGTGCCCCCACCGCCAGCAGAGCCGGCGCAGACGTTGGAGCAGGAGTCGGACTCGGAGGATTTGCCGCCCGGTGTAGATAAGAGTGCCGAGAGACTCTACTACACGTACGGTGCAGGAACGGACGATTTTCAGCCACACTCCACCGTCATTCAGGAGAGCAACGACGATTCCGTTCCCGCTAGTGGGGGTGGTACTGGCGGGCCGACGGGACGTGCTGCACGCGGCGCGAGTGGAGGTGCTACAGGGTGGCCTAGTGGAGGGGCCACACTCGGCGAGGGAGGACGTACCTTAGGCAGGGCAGATGCTGCAGTACGTGCTCAGCCCACTGTTGAGAGAGATGGGGAGCGCGAGAGGGCGGCCTGCACGGTCGACGACGACGACGACGACGACGATGGCGAGCCATTGGTCTTTCAAAAAGCACGCATGGCGAGCGACAAAGATCCCTCCGCCACCGAGGGTCTTAGGAGATCAGTCCAGTTGCAGACGCTGGCCGACTCGTCCACGGGCGCCAGACGCGAGGTGTCCGACAACCTGGATGACATTGCAGCTGATGAGCATATGCCGAGCCAGCACACATCCGCCTCGGCACCTCCAGGGGACAGGGAGCAGACGAACCTACGCACGAGTGACTGTCCTGGATTCCGACACGGACTTTCCGACACCGGTCTTACAGGACGGGGCCACAGGGAGAGACAGTGGGGGATGACGTCGAGTATTGTCCTACGGAGGCTGGTGTATCGGAGTCGACGGAGGAGCTCCATGCCCGCTTGGATCGAGAGGAGGAGCAGCGGCTGGAGGTGTTGCAGAGACAGTGGGCGGGTAGAGCCGCGTACGTGGCAGAGCAGCAGCGTGCTCGGGACTTGGAGACTGGTGCTGCAGTACCTGATCCGGGCGGGTTGGAGCATCGCGATCCCACAGCCCCGCATCGATTCGCAACTGACCCTGCACAAACTGAGGAGCACGGTGATCCGACCGTGCCAGAGCATGGAGATCCTGCCGTGTCTGACGTCGTACTTGGATTTTGTGCGGCGGACACGTTGCAGCCCGATGATGTACGGACTGAGGAGGCCGCAGTTCGTATGGAGGGCGATTCTGACGAGCATGGGGACGGAGGCCTTGCACCCGGTGCGGAGGCCGATGATGGGGCGGATAATGCGGGACGACTTTCACCGTCGCCTAGTGCCGGTCCAGGACCATTGTCACACGGCCCCATTGGGGGTGACGACATGGACCTGCAGGGTGATGATCCGGAGGAGGTCGGAGGCAGTATGTCTTTGGCGTTAGTGTTGTGGGATCCTTCACCGGTGGCGCACGACGTTCCGTCGGAGCATGTCGAGGGAGGAGGCGGTGCCGATGAGGAGGAGGAGGAGGGCGGTATACCACCTGACCTTCACGACCACGCCAGTGACGCCAGAGCAGATATGGAGGAGGGGGAGATTACACCGGGGCCACTCGACCCTGATGCGTTGCAGCGTGCACTAGTGGAGGATCCGATTAGCAGGGGAGCTGCAGGATCTCTTGGGGTCGGGGTTCGATCGCCTCCGTTGTACACACCTGTGACCCCTCGGTATT